ACTTGCTTTTGCTTATAAGATGCTGCCGAACCGACTGAGAGCAAAGTTAGCTTTCGGCTGCGGTTGCCCCTCTGCTTGTCTTTTAAGTTTTTTTTTGTTAGGTCGGGTTTCCCGATGAGAAGAAATTCAACTGCAATGGCCTAGAGGAAATCGATTCTATGGCACGATCTGCGGAAAGATAGGCTCAATTTCTTGAGCCGGAGTTTTCAAGGGGTTGGTGATGGTCTGAGCTGCGATCGCATCGAGGGGACCTTTGAAGCGTGCTTCCTATCGACGAAAATGAACTCTTCGCGACTACGTAAGGTGGTGCGACGAGGTCTGTTACCTTTCTGGCGAAGGATATCGGCATGAAAGTCCTGTATTCGTGCAAGACAATGCACCAATCCATTTCAGCCGGAGCACTCGAGCGTGGTCCAGCCGTCTTGAATCACTCTTTTGCCCTGGCCAGCGAATAGCCCAGAGCTACCCCATCGAGAGTGTGTTGGGGCTCTAAGGTACGCAGGATATACGCGCACAGTGCGCGATTCGAAAAATGTCCGTTCCGTCAAGGAGGCTACTCATTTAATGCATGGCGGCCATGACGACAAAACATTTATACACCACCTATTCGAGCATGGGCAATCGCATTTTCAAACTTATTCGAAAGAATGGGGCTGCAGTAGATTATTGAAATGACGATTTAATCAAATTTGTTGTACACTTGTTGTTTCTGAATCGATTCGATTAGTGGAAGTATACTTGTGGGACATTGTCAAAGTGAGGATTTTCAAAAAATAAAGAAAGTTGAATTGCTCTGGAAAGTCAGTTCTTCGGAGTGACATGCACAATTGGTACTGTAAATAACCACATTTTAATACCAGCTAGAGGCTTTTTTCAAAACTCGTGTAGGGGGGATATTGTGAGATTTATGTGTGGAAGTATACTTTTGGGACGCAGTGTACGGATAGGTATTGATAGGGGAGTTAGAATGGTAAGGTCACCATACTTATAACGCGGAACACAGCATCAGCTAGGCATTAATTTCAGAAAATGATATAGAGTTGGAGATGGGACACGGAGCACGTGAGGTGATAACAGCTGATAGGGGCTGATAAGGACCGTTGCACATTGCTTGTTCAGTCAAATTGCTGGAGCCTTTACACTACAAATTATAGAGTTTCAGTGATAGGGACATTGATGACAGTGACAGGATCTTATCAACCGATAAAAAACGACAAGGGGTCATTATCATTACCTCTCTTATCACTATACCCCAAGTATCAAAAGCTCAGTGTGCATACTTTTCCTTCAGCCAATCACTTCGCCTGATAGCCTAGAAAATGAACTCATCCTAAACATCCTACTATATATAATCCGCTAAGTATGTTCTGCCACCACGTGTTTGATCGGCACCATATTGGCCTTGCATGTATGTTTATGACTTATCGTGGGGTGTGCATGAAGCACGTAAGAACTCCTTCACATCACTACCTCACACTCACTCAGCTTGCATTTGGATTCGCAGAATGCCGCCCAAGTTTCAACCCGACAGGATCGGCACCTGAGGCACTGTCTCTTTTTCTTCATCAGTCTGGCTTAAACGCAAAAGAAGCCCAAGCCAAGATAAGTGGATACATATGGCGCTGACGCTCATACCTTACGATACGTGCAAGACCTGGATGGCCAGTTCAATAAAGGAGATTTTTCGTCCAAGATGTCCAAGGTCCGGCCGGCCGATGGAGTTAGACGTGAAGTTGCTGCAATCTCACCGTGGAAGAGGAGTCCGTACGCCACCACCAGGGAACTTTGCAGCGATGGCTCGGCCATGCCTAATCAACTATTGAATCTGGATGGAGAAGATTGGTAAAGTCGCAAAGCTTGGCCGTTGGATTCCTCATCAATTCAATGGCGGGAAAGTTTCCGGTCAACCTAATATAAAACGCAGCCTGTAGAGTGCTCTTTCGATTCGCAGCAACCAATTTCGCAACACATGGATGTCACGGCCTTTCTGCAGACAAGGTGCTTTCTTCTCCCCGGAAAAATCCTAAGCAAGCAGATTTCTTCAAATATTCAATCTTTTTCATTTTTTTTTGAAGTAAACCTTCTCGCCTTCTATTGTTCTGTTTTGTTGGGGTCCTGCATTGTTACAAGGGTATTTTTTTCAAAGAGTGGCTTGGAAACTCGCCTTCTCGAGATTTTCATCGATTTCTCGGATTCGTACACACCGCCGCTAGTAGCACTTTTGACTGCTTTCTGTTGAAAAAGCTTCAAATGATGCCGACTCCGTTCACAAGTTTTGCAAAATGCTTTTTCTGAGTGAGAAATGCTTCTCTTTGAAAAATCGTCATGGTAGAGTGACGGTTATGAAAGGATAGCGCTAAGGCTGTGACAGAGGTAAAACAAAACCGCATTGGAACTAATACTTTTTTAGTTATCAATTCAGATAAGTACTCTTATAGAGGGGGTGGGGGAGTGAGTACTTTGGACACCATTTTTTTGTGTGCGTTGTGTGACGACGGGGGAGCGCGCGTTAGATGCCACCCGACTGTTATCACGCGCGCGCAAATTTGAATACAAACTGTAGTTTGAATAATCTCCCGCGCGCGGCAAATTTGAACACAAACAGCCGCCTGCTGAATTATTCGCTTACTCAGCATTAAGAACTCATTCATGAAGGTGTTTCTTCACTGTTCTCCTGTTATTCGCTATTCTGCTAACCCCTTTGCTTCCGCAAATTACCAATACTGCCGGTGAATACTTCCTGGCCTTCTACAAGTGTGTTCTTCAGTTGCCCATTGGATCTGCTATTCACTGTTAAGGTATTCTGTGTATTCTTCTCTGTTCTGCTACTCTCTCCTCCACGCCACCAATCCAACAGGTTAGGACGTGATTACTCCGCCACTGATTTTTAGACAGTTTCTCTTTTGCATGCAAACTCCTTTAAGTTTTTCCTGAAGCTTTTTCCTGAGTGGCGGACGTGCCCGCACCCCTTTTTCCTATCGTTCTTTTTTTGACGGAATAGCAATTTTCATCGTACTTATTTTTCTGAAATACTTATTCTCTTTTAAATTTCGTTTAAGTCACACCACTGTGTCCGTCTTACGTGCTCGGAGGACCCATAATAGTCAGGTTTCTTTCGAGCTTTCCATGGGTTGTCGCAAAGAACTGCTATTCGATCCCCTAGTGAAGCCTCGAGATAGCCTGAAAAGGTGCCTGAGGCCTCAGAGTATTTATCCACCGCTGAGCCTCCCCGAACTTCCGTTCTCCTTTCTCCTTCTGCATTTCCATTCACCCTTCCTTTATTCCTCCCCTCATCTCGTTTGCTTATTTCCTCCCTCCCAATGTTCGACCAGAGTATGCTCCAGACGAAGGGCCAGCCCTTCGTGAGTAGTGAACACCCTCGTCGCATAATGCGTGAGTTACCTTTGCGAGACCTGCCTCCCTAATAATCCCTCCGTGGCGTCACCTCATCCGCGAAAGTTGTGATGGACGACTCTGAGAAATAAGTAGGAGTTTTTCTTCACCATAACTTTCTTACATTATGGGAATGTCGCATAAGTAGGAGGAGGCCACGTTGATTGCGTCGTTATTAGCTCCACGCTAAGTAGATCAAGTAGTCGAGGTGGGTTGAATGGTGAATGGAGGAAAGATAAGAAGATGCTCTCTCACCTACGAGGTATTTTGTGCATTTTCTGATCGAATAATGGGGGAGGAAATAAGCAGATTAAGTGAGAGGAGGAATAAAGGAAGGTGGTAGTGGAAAAGCAGGAAAGTAGAGGGAAGGCGAAAGTTCAGGGAGGCTCAGCGGTGCAGATATTTCCGAATCCTTAGGCACCTTTCAGGCTATTTCGAGACTTCACAAGGGGCTCGCGTACCAGTTCCTAGCGACAACCATGGAAAGCTCGAAAGAAACCTGAATATATATGGGCCCTCCGGAAACAGAAGACGGACACAGTGATGTAACTTAGACGAAATTTGAAAAAGAAATAAGTTTACAGAATATAAGTGCAGTCCCTGATCCTAAATGGATGGATATACTATTCAGTCGAAAAAAGAATGCTGAGGAAAAAATGACTAAAGAAAGCTTCGCATGCAAAAGAGAAACAAACTCAAAATTAGTCAGTATTAATGATCACGTCTTCCTTGTTAAATTCGATGGCGTGGAGGGGAGAGTAGCAGAAACAGTGAAGAATACACAGAAAAAACTACCTGAATAGTGAATAGCAGATCCAATGGCAACTGAAGGACACACTTGTAGAAGGCTAGAAGTATTCACACAAAATGCTTGGTGATTCGGAGACGCAAAGGGGTAGCAGAATAGCGAATAACAGGAGAACAAGTGAAGAAACAGCTTCATGAATGAGTTCTTTACTGCTAAGTAAGCGAATATTTTCAGCAAGTGCTGTTTTGTGTTTGAATTTGCGCGCGCGGAAGATAATTCAAACTACAGTTTAAATTCAAATTTATTCGCGGTAACAGTCGGGTGCGGAATCTAACCGCGTTCACGACGGAGAGGGTTGCATCGACCAGTCATTCCATTCAATGTGATGTTTGACACTTCGCAGAGCACGAGCTTCGTTTTTCACTTAATAATAGTGTACTGGTCTTGTCAATGTGAGGCGTGTGATTTTTCAGGAGTGAGCAAAGAAAACTAGCTCAAGTGCGATGGTCTCTCATCACCCTCCTCCCCTCCCCCCGAGCTAATCAGCCCAACTCCTCACGGTGGTAGACACAATGAGAAGTTGGTGGGGAGTTAAAAAAATCTTGAATCCTGAACATGCGCATAGGATTTGCGCCGAGAGATTATATTCATTCATCGTTCTGTGTAGTATGAAACTTAACTTTTTCCAGTAGGGAGATCGAAACCAACAAAGAAATAAGATGTGATTATCATGAGAAATGAGATATTTCGGCTTCTGTGGCCGATCATTGTGAACAAAACGAGCAACACGTGTTCAGGATCTTCTTCAACATTCAAATTATTTGGAGGGCGTCGTATTAAACTAGGCGAGTACCCCTGGATGGTCAACCTATATATTGATAAAGATCTAGAACGTGAGCGTTTCCGTTTGGTTGCGGTGTCAAATATATAGTCTTTCACTTGAATGGGAAATATTTCAGATACAGATTTGGAACGTTGCACTGGATCCCTAATCTCACCACGTCACGTTCTTACGGCCGCACATTGTGCGACGAACCTAGACGAGCGTAGGATGTATAAGGGCGAATGCGATGGAATTTTGAAGAATTACGTGCTGTCAGAGAACAAGCCAGATGATTTCACCGTTTACGTCGGCACCTATTGCACTCTTCGCGGTCGTCCTCCAAAATGTCACAGTATACCCCTTGTTTCAAAGGTTCGACGTTGCTAAGAATCCCTTTTAAAATGTGTTCAACACCTACTCTGCGTAGAACCTTTCCTCTTCTGTTTATCAGGTTTTTATCGACAAAAAATGGAAGCTGTGCGTGCAGAAAATGCGGAAAGGGAAGGAGGTTGATTGGATTCATACACACGATCTTGCAATCCTCGAACTCACTAATGAAATCAGCAACAAGGATGCTATTCCGATTTGCTTACCAAACAATAAACTTCCACTGGCAAAAGAACTTCAGGTCGTGGGGAAAGGACGGGAAAGAAGTAAGTTTACAATAGTTCTTGCTGTAGGGAATGTTGACAATTTTTGCAGTGACTTCCTTCTTGCACTTCAATTTACAACCCGAAAATTGTCGAAAGAATTCTGAGACATGGGCAAAACGGGAAAGGGCGATACACCCATTTCTGTCTAAATGGGGGACGGGTGATTCCAGCACAGACAATAGCCCAGTCAGGACATCAACGTTGGAAAAACAACCCAGGAATGAGGGTTGATTGCTCGAAAACCCCCGACTTTATATGGGACCAAGTTGTTGGTATTAAAGAAGTCTATTGAGGGACGTCGAATTATACCAACTACAAAATTGGTACAATTCCATTCGTCAAAGAAGACCACCATGAAGTACTTCTGGGACAGAGCAATACAACTGCTATCTGCGGGGTGAGTGATATTGTCGCCTATCCAGAACCCTTTAGTTTACGGATTGAGTCTCGCGTATTATCATGATCCTTGAAAATGAAAAAAAAGCTTGATAGGACTCTGACGCTTGAAATTGTAAACCACTTGGATCTCTCGGCGCACTACGCATCGGCGAGGTTGGTCGTTCAGTGAGCGAAATGATCACTTCTGCTGTTGTACGAAGTATAACATCACCGTCACTTGCAGTAGCATAGAAGTCGAGTTGGAAGGGGTGGGGGTCAAAGGTGGGGCTTCTTTTACAGGTGCTTTCGCTGTGACACGGATACGTTCGTGCGAACGTACGCCGCGGGGCCAGCTGGTTCCCGACAGCCGCTGTCACTAGAGAGGCAGACAGCCAATTATGAAGCTGCGCCAAAGCGAGGAACCCTCACCCCAATAGACAATGTGTTAGGTCACCCCGTTCAAGCAACACTAAAAGATTGCGAATAGCACTCAGTGTGAAACCCCGTGGCTCAAGGGCTAAGAGCCACGGGGTTTCACACTCTTGAGAGCAAGTGTTTTCCGCTTTGTATTCATTTGATGACCAACGTAACCACAAGAGAGAAACTGTATAATAGAAATCCCTCTGTGGTCAGAAATAGCGCTGAATTTTGCAGCCCCGCGTCATACAAGATCCGGCACATAGCCCCCTCCCCCCCCCTTCAAATAAGTGGCCGCGACGAAAGCTACAGGTGGGATCAGCGCGGGAGGGGATTTCGGGGTCGATGAGCCACCATGGGTCAAAAGGGGATGTGAAAAGCCGATGTAGTATCAGAAAGGCATAAAAGCGCGAAAACGCAAAAAAGACGGAAAGTTCAGTGGTCAAATTGCGTTGAAGCTGTTTTAGCAACCACACCTTATGAGGATGATCTTCCGAACTAAGTTTCCAGAGAATATTCTTTTCGAGGCGGAGATGGTGTAGTTGCAAGTGGCGCTCATAACACTTGCTCGGTCTTGGGTTGAAGCCCGGGTCAATCCTCACCTACGCCAACGAAGCTCTCTTTCTTCCACGAACGGTGAAATACCAAACTCGTGCGGGAAAATGAAACACTGACTTATAAATGGATTGGCTCCCACAAGTCATCGTGCTGGCCATATGGCTTCCGGATGCAGGCTGGAGGGTTCAGTGTTGGGCATACAAAATGGGCAGGGTCATGGTTCTTTGGGACTAATCACTATGTATGTGTTTTTGAAGAGCATGCAATAGGCTATAAGAGCGTCTACAAATCACCACTGAGAGAACAGGAATTGCTTTTGGAGCTAACTTTTTCTTCATCCTTTTATGTTCGTCGATATTGGTGTTGAGGCCTTGAGAGAGGCTTCTATGTGATCACTGAGACACAAAGCGTGGGAGTGGGACTTCTTCTCTGTGACAAATGTGGAATGATGCTTCGTTAGAGCAGAAAGTGGGTGCCCGTTAGAGCAGAAAGTGGGATCGCAGTCTTTGCCTTGTGTCGAATTTCCTGCCGTCGCTTTTAGGCTCTTTTTCTTGAACACTTCACCTCACCTGTATCACCTGTGGCTCCTTGATCATCGATTCTCGGCGGGCGCCAGTAACGTCTCCATTCGTCCCTGCAATGTGCAAGAGTTGCCCAATGAACTCTCTCAGCTCGAGGACTACGATGAACTTCATACCGTTCGTTTCAGAGCCTGTACGAAGAATCTGACCATCGCATAGGCGGTCGTCCAGGCGTTCGCTTGACATCCGTGGAATCCAGTCGGTGACTGCTCTGGTCCAGCGGTCCGTCCTCGAAACGCATAACGTGTCTCGCCCACTGATTTCGAAAACCTTGGCAAATGCGGCGGCGTTCTCTGATCTTCGATCGTTGGCGGAGTGCGGAGCTCCGGATTCCCTCTCTCACTTGCGTGTAGCGGGAAACTCGAGAGCATCGCCCTTTCGATGGCGCGTTGGAATAACGCGCCCATGCTCATCCCTCTTTCGTAGAGCCCAAGCTCTCTGAGGCGTACGTCAAGGCAGGAAGGACCGCGGAATCGAAGAGTGGGCACGGAGCTTGGTGTTCCTCGTCTTCGCCTGCTTACTCCCTCGATGTTCTTGAAGGCTCCCCAAGCCGCTCGCTTCCTCCTGGCTCAGCCGCTCTGGCGCTAGGTCATTCATCATATGATTTCACGAGCTAGGTACACATGCTGAGAGCATTCAGAGATCGTCGTTCCGTTGAGCGTGAATGGGCATCAGACAATCCAATCTTTCTCATGAACATCGTCTTCGTTAGATTCAGCCGTAGACCGATTGTGTCCACGCGCGCAGTCTAATTCAGCCAGCATTCGGTTCCGCTTGCTCGATGTTTGGTGTTATCAAAGCGATGTCGTCAGCAAAGCGGAGATGGTGAGTTAGTTCCGAGACGTCGATCTTCACTCCCATCTTCCCATTCCAGTTGACGCATTGACGTTATCGGAGAGAGGCGCTGAAGAGCTTGGGCGAGATAGTGTCGCCTGTTCATTGTCCCAGGAGACTCCCATGTCCAGGCGTAGAAGAGTAGGGGCTTCTGAGAACGGGCGAGCAACGAAATTGCTCCGCACGAGAGCATCCTGTCCATCGTAGAGAGCTAGGGCTTCTGGAACTGCGAGTTCCATGGATGGTATGGGTCGACATGATAAACTCAGACAGCCTTTCACCCTGCTCATTCCACTCCGTTCCGTGAGTTCCGATGTGAAGTTCTTCAGCCGTTCCTTCTTGGTCCGATCTTAGCGTTGAAGTCACCGACGATTGACCTTGAAGAAGGTATGATCTTCCTTGTAGAACTTCTCCAATTCCATATAGAACGCTTCGAGCTCATCCTCGTCGTAGCTTGATGTTGGTGGCTAGGCGACGAAGATTGTCAAAGCGGGAGTTGAACCCATCTTCTCATCGCAACGTCCCATTCGGCCGTCAGACTTTCGTACGAATCGATGTTCATGGCCAAGTGCGTGTTGATGAAGGACACCCACACCGCCAACGCCTCTGCTGTCGCATGTTCGCGAGGAACAGTTCTTCTCCAGTCTCGTACACGGCGTGTAGCGGGCGCATGCCTCCTCGTCTCGGTCAGTGTCCGATGACGTCGTACTTGATCTTCCTGGCTTGCAACAATCAGATCTTCGACGTGAGCTTCCGAGATGCAAGCGTCCGTGCGTTGAAAGTACAGATCGTCATCCTAATCGCTGGGCGACTTAAATCTCCGTTGGCTCTGTGATTCTAGCAGCTCGTCGAGCGGTCCAGCCGCGACTCGCGCTGTCGGTGGTTCCCTCAGCTTCAGGGAATGAGGCCCATAGTTGTTACTGTTTTCGGCGAGAAGATTAACACGCGTTAAGCTCGCCAGGCTCTGACGTGGCGACCCTCCGCATTGGTACGTTTTTGGAACAGTCAAAACCGTTCACCCCACCGCCACGATGAGGCTGCGGATAGGATGTTGTGGGCTTGAAACACTTATGTTGAATAATGAGGACCGATCGCTGCTCGGGCGAATACAATATGTGGCTCTGAAGTTGAAACGAAATAGCAGAAGGATGAAGAGTAAAGTATTCGTTGGTCGATCCCTTTGTGGATACGTCGCGCATTCTGCTTCATTAAGAATCGTGGTAGCTTATGTAAATACCAATATGGCCGTACAACCAGTTGTGGGAGCCAATCCATTTAGAAGTCTGTATTTCATTTTCCCGCACGAATATGGTACCAACTTACCTTCCGGGAAGAAAGAGAGCTTGGTTGGCGTAGGCGAGCATTGACCTGGGGCTTCGACCCAAGACCGCTCGAGTGATATGGGCGCCACGTGTGACTACCATCTCCGCCTCGAAAGGAATATTCTCCAGAAACTTATTTCAGAAGATCATCCTCTTAAGGTGTGGTCGTTGAAATGACAAAAACGAAGTTGGGTGATCGTAGTGTTGGTAAGGGATCAGACAGCAGCGTGTCGTAACAAACTATGATAGAAAACTCCTTTTGAGATATGTACACATCCACTCAAAATACTTTCAATCTTGCTAGGCTTGAGGACAATGTAAGATGGGGAGGAACTTACCCAACGAAATTTGGGGTATTGCTGTGCTGTACACTCAGTTACATAAAATTGTGATATAAAAATGAAATATGGATAATTGCTGCAGAATTCCAAAAAAAGGAGAATTGAGAAGAGTTGTGGCCGAGAGGAGCCGCATTTCCGTTTTGTACAAGAGAAGCAGGCGGGTGAAATGAAGTCCCATCACGGAAACTAAACAGCTGACAGCATCCTCGCTAGACTGATATCCCTGCAGCAGCAGCTCTCTGAATCACGCCCGAAAAAATGAGGATGACCAAAAGCGTGAGTGTGGATGCCTCATTTTTTTGCAGAAGCACGAAACCAGAGCCTATCGGATGTCTGCAACAGTAATATTCCCTGTCGAATCTTGTATCCGACCCGAACTCACAAGAATGAGGCTAGAGTGAATGCAGATAAGAAGCCACCTAAACTTTGTTCTTAGTGAGACCAAATGGAGTTTTCACGGCAATGTATTTCCCCACAGTGGCTTCAGAGCGAATACGTTCAGAGCACAAAGCCGCCACTGTCGTTATATTGCTTGACGTTTCTTGACGACCAGGTCGAGAAACGGTATCGCACGACTGCATCACAGGACATCAGTCCCCGTCAGAATGTCAGGCCCCAAGGAGCCACAAAGCTCCGATCAGAAGCATACTGAGATTTGGGTTCTAATGCCTTTTGTGCCTGAACTACAACCGTTCGATTCGAATCGTTCTGGTGAGCAGAAGGAACAGCCCAAAAAACTGCGACAAGTAGTCATCGTGTGACCACTCCGGTGCACTTGTTGAAAAAGAAGCTGCCTGGTTTTCAAGCACACTGGGCATTGGAGCTGTTGATCTGAAGGGCTCTGCTTAACATAAACTGAATTACTACTTTTTTTCATCTGTCCTCCTCTTCCTTTTTCCTCCACAAGAATCCTTCCGCCTTTCTGAAAGGGGTCGTATACCCGAGCAAACTGTGCTACAGACCCTCAACAAGCCGCACGATCAGCCAGGCTTGCCGTCCATAGACCGACGCGCAGCGTGAGTCACGATGCTC